TGATCAAATATCGGGTTAAATATCGGTGGGGTGGCCGATGTCCGATTATATCGTGCATCCCTAGTTTCATTGTGAATTAAACATTCAGTTTCGCATTCAGCATATTTCCCTGTTTTGGGGAAACAAATACGGCACATCATGATGAACAAACCAAAGTGACCATGGTGGCGGCATCATGTTGAGGAGGATGCAGATACCGGACACTGGTCACAAAAGACTAAATAGAGGAAAATCCTGCAAGCATCACTTGTAGATTCTTTTTTTAGATGCTTCCTATCTAGTCAGACTAAACCTGTATACATTTCACTCTCCAGATTTACAAAAAAAAAACATTTCCTCTCCACTCCATGATTAGGTTGTACTTTGTGTCAGTCAATCACACACAACCCCAACAAACTGTATAGGGTTATGGTTTTAATGTGATGAAAGATTAAAGGTGGAACTGAATTGAATACCTCTGTGAGTCACCATAATGTTAACTGTGTAAAATACACCAACTCCAAACTTCTTTCGTATTTTTCACAATAAAGGCCACAAGCTGGACCAATTTAAAGCGAGCACTGAGAGCTCCATGTTTGGGTTAGGGTGGGGTGGTTGTTGTACGAAGGAGTCGACCAGAATTCCTCACAAACTGAAAGGAGCCTTGCAGGAATTCCTGCGTTTGTATGAGAGTTTCTAAATGTGATCGAGGCCGTGGCCTGCCCTCCCTTCTCTGCATACCAGTGAGAGTGATGGGAGCACAATGGAGCAGGACTGTGTGGGTGTAGCCGAGACTCCCGCTCAGCTACCCAGCTGGAGAGGGTCGCCTGGGAGCCAATGACCGAGAGCGCTCAGAGGCAGAGAGGAGCTCCACTACATTTACAGTAGTAAAGAGGAAATATGCTAAAATCTCTCTTAACAAACTGTTTTAACAATTTGCTATCTGATTGGTTAAAGCTTCAAGATAACCATCATTAGCTATAGTCACATTAAGACTGCAGACTGATTTTACTGGATAGACTATCACAAATTGCATAGTTTGTTGTTTTTATTATTAAAATCTAAAAGTTGGAGCATGCATTTTATTTACACAGTCCCATATAAACTGAAACCTCCTAAATTACGTTTAATAGAACGTTTTTCCTACCTTATTAGGGTAAAAAGAAAACAGCATTTAAGGTGGGATCAAACGTAGAATAAAGATTGCTACACGAGATGACATGGCAAACACGGAATAAGGAGTTCTGGAAATGAATTTCGTTCCATTGTTGTTGCAAAAAAATAAAAATTTTTAAAATGGAAAAAAAAGATAATAAAATCGAGAAATAAATTTTCAAAGATTTCTTTAAAAAAAAAAAGATTTAAATTAACTGCTTTTTTAAATTCCTTTTTCATATCTTATTTTTCAAATTCATGAAAATTAAATTAATATTTTTTTGCAGATTTGATATTTTCATTTTTCTTTTTGAAGATTTGGTATTTTCAACCTTTTTTATATTTCTTTTTATTTCTGTTTTCCAGATTGAGTTTTACGAATTCCAAATGTGAATAAAAATTCAATTAGTAAAATTATATATA